TGACGCGCGGGCGGATCCCGGCTGGACAGCTCTGGCGGATCCTGCTGGACGGCTTCAATGGCTGGCTGACGATCTGGCTGCTCAGGCTGGCTGACATAGGCTGCTCAGGCTAGCGGACGGATCTGGCTGCTCATGGATAGCTGGCGGATCTGGCTGCTATGGCTGGACTGACTGGCTGACGGATCTGGCTGCTCATGGCTAGCTGACGGATCTGGCTGCTCATGGCTAGCTGACGGATCTGGCTGCTCATGGCTGGCTGACGGATCTGGCTGCTCATGGCTGGCTGACGGATCTGGCTGCTCATGGCTAGCTGACGGATCTGGCTGCTCATGGCTGGCTGACGGATCTGGCTGCTCATGGCTGGCTGACGGATCTGGCTGCTCATGGCTGGCTGACGGATCTGGCTGCTTATGGCTGGCTGACGGATCTGGCTGCTCATGGCTGGCTGACGGACCTGGCTGCTCATGGCTAGCTGACGGATCTGGCTGCTCATGGCTAGCGGAAGGCTCTGGCTGATCCTGTCTGGCGGAAGGCTCTGGCTGATCCCGTCTGGCGGAAGGCTTTAGCTGATCCTGTCTGGCGGAAGGCTCTGGCTGATCCCGTCTGGCGGTAGGCTCTGGCTGATTTTGTCTGGCGGTAGGCTCTGGCTGATCCTGTCTGGCGGAAGGCTCTGGCTGATCCTGTCTGGCGGAAGGCTCTGGCTGATCCCGTCTGGCGGAAGGCTCTGGCTGATCTTGTCTGGCGGTAGGCTCTGGCTGATCCTGTCTGGCGGAAGGCTCTGGTTGATCCTGTCTGGCGGAAGGCTCTGGCTGATCCTGTCTGGCGGGAGGCTCTGGCTGATCCTGTCTGGCGGAAGGCTTTAGCGGCTCCTGTCTGGCGGAAGGCTTTAGCGGCTCTGGTCTGGCGGACGGCTCTGAAGGCTCATGGCAGACGGGCGGCTTAGCAGGCTCAGTACATACGGGCCGTTCATGCAGCGCTTGGCATACGGACAGTTCAGACGGCGTTGGGCAGACGGGCAGTTCAGGCAGTGCTTGGCAGACGGACAGTTCAGACGGCGTTGGGCAGACGGGCAGTTCATGCAGTGCTTGGCAGACGGACAGTTCAGACGGCGTTGGGCAGACGGGCAGTTCTGGCAGTGCTTGGCAAACGGACAGTTCAGACGGCGTTGGGCAGACGGGCAGTTCATGCAGCGCTTGGCATACGGACAGTTCAGACGGCGTTGGGCAGACGGACAGTTCAGGCCCCGTTGGGCAGACGGCAGACTCTGGCCGTCTGAGGCGCATCGTAGGCCTGGTGCGTGGTGCCGGAACAGGAGGTACCGGGCTGAGGACACGCATCTCAGGGCTAGTGCGGGGAGAAGCAACAGGGCATGCTTGGCCCTGGGGACGCACCGTAGGCCTGATGCGTGGTGCCGGAACTGGAGGTACCGGGCTGAGGACACGCATCTCAGGGCTAGTGCGGAGAGCAACAACAGGACGCACAGGACTCTGGGGACACACAGGAGGCTTGGTGCGTGGTGGAGGCACTGGTGGTACTGGGCTGGAGCGGGGAGGTGGCGCCGGAAATACCGGACCGTGCAGGCGTACTGGCTCTCTTGAGCACTGAGCCTGCCCAACCTTACCTGGTTGTATGCTCCCCGTCGCCCGACCAGTACGGGAAGGAGGAATAACCCGCACCGGGCTATGTAGGCGAACCGGGGAAACCATGCGTAAGGCTGGTGCCATGTATGCTGGCCCGAGGAGACGCACTGGTGGCCTGCTGCGTGGGACCGGCTTCATGACATCCGGCTCAACGCTCAATCTAGCCCGGCCAATACGAGGAGCTGGAATGTACCGCACCGGGCTATGCCTGCGTACAGGAGACACCATGCGCTCTACTGCGTAACATGGTGTCTGCCCGTACTCCCGCTCTCCACGGTAAGTACAGGGAGTAGGCGCAGGTCTCCTACCTGACTTCGCCACACTCCCTTTTTGCCCCCCCCCAAGAAATTCTTGGGTAGTACCCACGGGCTTCCAGCCTCGACTCCGCGCTGCCTCCTCGTACCACCTCCTCTCGGCTGCAGCTGCCTCCAGCTCTTCACGAGGGCGGCGATATTCTCCCGGTTGTGCCCAAGGACCCTTTCCATCCAAAATCTCCTCCCATGTCCATGAATCCTTAGGAGGAGTCCATAACTCCTGTGTAGGTAGGTCCTGTTGCCGCTTGTTACGCTGCTTGGTCCTTTTATGGTGGGTTTTTCTGTCACGATCGTCAAAAGGAGCGGACCAATGCGCAGCGTTGCGAGTGAACATCGTAGACTTTATTAAAGAAACCACGATCACAAACAATAAACCAAAATAGACGAAAGTGAAGTTCAACACTGAATACCACTATCAGCAACAAGGAAACAAAAACCCACAAACACAAGGTGAAACCACACAGTTTAAATATGGCTCCCAATCAGAGATAACGAGCCGACAGCTGTCACTCGTTACCTCCGATTGGGAGTCACATGAATACAAACAAGGAAGACAACCACCTAGACACCCCAACCAAACAGCACACAACAAAACGAACACACCTCATACCCAACCTAGCCCACACAACACCCAACAAAACAAACACACCCTGGTTCTATAACAACGTCCCGGAACCAGAGCGTGACAGTTTCTTATGCTGGGCATCATTCACAAGTGATAATATATCATTCACAAGTGATAGGCTAATATTGTCACCCATCAGACTATTCTTGATTTAATCTTGTCTTTACATATACTAAATAATATATGTGTGAAATTTGTTTTGATTTAGAATGGACCATTATCATGCACCTGTCTCGGAACAGGGTCAGTGGGAAAAAATACATGTCATCTATGCACTTAAATAGCGAATGGAGGACGCTTTCCCTGTGGTTCATTTCCATGCCAGCCAGGTAGGCTATACTCCTGTTGTAAAGATAAACAATGTGCTTAATATTAGGAACGTTGAGAAATAAATATAGTAGGCCTAGCCTATAGAAAGCTGATGGGATCCTCCTCTTTTTTGTAGAGGCCATCACTCTGTTTTCTCTTACAACTGCATAGCCTATAGAAATGTTGCGCAACATGAGCTCATGGTCTCTCATGTTTGATTGGATTTTTGATAACATTTGCATTGATGTCAGAGTGATTAGAGGGACAATAGAGTGCTGAGTACCAGGCAGTTAGCAAGTTTGGAAGGCTACTAATGACCAGCAGCAGCATCAGAGCTTGGAGAAGCCTAATTACCGTGACTAAACGGTCATGTGGAATTTGACTGCATTCATGACTCGTGACCGCCGGTGTGGCGGTAATATGGTCACCGCAACAGCCCTATCCTTGAGTGGCCCAGCCAGAGCCCGGACTTGAACCCAATCAAACATCTCTGGAGAGACCTGAAAATAGCTGTGCAGCGACGCTCCCTATCCAACCTGACAGAGCTTGAGAGGATCTGCAGAGAATAATGGGAGAAACTCCCCAAATACAGGTGTGCCAAGCTTGTAGCGTCATACCCAAGAAGACTCGAGGCTGTAATCGCTGCCAAAGGTGCTTCAACAAAGTACTGAGTAAAGGGTCTGAATACTTATGTAAATGTCATATTACAACAACAAAAAAATTCTATACATTTGCAAAAATTTTAAAACATCTGTTTTTGCTTTGTCATTATGGGGCATTGTGTGTAGATTGATCAGGGAAAAAAACAATTTTATCAATTTTAGTATAAGGCTGTAACGTAACAAAATCTGGAAAAAGTACTTTCTGAATGCACTCTATTTCCATTAAAAACTATTTCTCAAGCAAGAATTTTGCTAGGACTGTCCGGGAGTGGTCTGAGTGGGGAGAGGAAAACTGAAAACTAGCTGTTATTGGCAGAGAGGTTTGGAACTCTCTTTGTTATTGGTCTATTAACCAATTTATTGCATGGTGATGTCACCTTGAGAGCCGAAACTCCCGCCCATGCAAACCTGCTTATTAGAAGGTCCTGTGTAGATTGTATTTTCAACCAGCAACTATCAGGAAATAACACTGATCAAATTTGTTCACACTTTTACAGTGTTAGTTTAATCAGCTGTTGTACAATATGATATACAGTTAAACACAGGAAAAACAGAATTTTGGCTGCACTGGGCCTATAACATCAGATGGACAGAGTCAGTAACATCGACCTATGGGAGTGCACCAGCCAGGTGCCGGTGGAAGAGGAGATCCGGAGGAGAAGATGAGAATGGATCATCCAGGCAAGCTCTATCCTGGAACTCACAAGTCAAAAGGAAAAGATGGCACCCGAGAAACACCTGGAGGCGGGAGCTTGAGGCAGGTACAAGGAAAACCGGCATGGGGTGGAACGAGCTGGAGAAGACTGCCCAGAACAGAGTGCGATTGAGAGGAGTCGTCGATGTTGTCTGACGACTCAAACTGAATTCGCTGCTCTATCATTCGCTACATTTTTCAGTCTGAGACGGCAATTATTGAAGTCATTTGTGATGACGTCAAAATGAGGGGTGTTGTACAAAACATCAGCGATTGGATCTTCTCTAACCATTCAGAGTATCAAAGCCAATGACACATTTTCAAAACATCGCTTTATCCACGCGTGTTCTGGCTCTAGCCCAACTCATCGGTTTCTGGGACCAATCTGACAGTTTAGTACATATTTCCATTCTAGAAATCGTAGGGGAGGTACTCAGACCCAGACTCATTGCGGAGAAGAAACTAACGTCTGTGGGCGTGGCGTAATGTTTGTGCGGAGCAAGGAGTTTAGGTAGCCTGGCTATCGTCGAAGGCCTATGCTCCCAAAGGAGCGATGGGCCTAAGTAAGTGTACATTTCTGGCCAAACCTAGGGATACTTCAGGGCTACGTTAAGGGGCCGGTCATCACTGCACTATTCTGTGGTAACTCAAAGCCACGCTCCCTCATTGACTATTTGAGAGATCTAGTTAGCTAAACAAGAGGTTTGTCATCAAAGGGAAACAGTTCTCCCTAATGGTCACCTCTGTCCGTCTGTGATGCTCCAGGTAAAGCGTTCAATGGGATTAAGTCCCACACTGGGTATTCAGGCTGTGATAAATGCATCCAAGGAGGTGTCTTTGTTAAACATAGAATGACCTTTCCTGAGGTCAATAGGCCACGTAGGACTAATACTTCTTTCATCAGCATGTCAGATGAGGAACATCATGTTGCAACTTCACCTTTAAAGGACACTTCTGTTGGCATGGTTTCAGGCTTTCCCCATGATTACATGCACCTAGTCTGTATTGGGGTCATGCGAAGACAGTTCGATTTGTGGCTGGCTACAGGGCCCCTCCATTGTCAAATCTCTACATGTCAAAGTGTACTCATTGGCTTGAAAGATTACATTCCCATAGACTTTGCAAGGAAACCTAGGGTATTGTCAGAGAGGCTGAGATGGAAGAGAGTTACAGCAGCAACAGAGTTACGCAGTTTTTGTTGTACACTGGTCCAGTGGTCCTCTGTGATTTGTTGTCAGGCCCAGTGCACAACAATTCCATGCTGTTGTTTGTTTCCATTTTCATTCTCTCGAGTCCGACATTGTGTCTTACCCTGAATGACTTTGCCCACAGCCTACTTGTATCATTTGTGGAGCACGGTCTCCAGTATGTGGTTTACAACATTCATGGGCTTACCCATCTTTGTGAGGATGTCAAGTTAAATGGAAACCTGGACTTAATATCTGGGTTTCCATTTGAGAACTACTTGGGGTAGATTAAGATAAGAACCCTATACCCTCCTTTGTTGCAGGTAATATGCAGATATATGCACAGATTGAACACCACTGACTAAGTATAATAATGTGTAGAATATATATAATCCTATTAAGAATACTCTTCTATCTGTTAATGAGTAGTTATGCCTACAAACAAATATCCCTGATAACGCATTTCAGATAGTAATGAGTGTATAACGAGATTGCTCTCTGTATTGAAATTTGCCTCAGGCAAAAAGGTTGGCATGATTGTATTCCAATGGTCCTCCACTGATCCATCAAGTATTGTTATAGTGAAAGCTATCCTTTATATTTGTGTGACTTTGAGAAATCTAAAGTACATTTTAGTCATTTAGCAGACACTCTTATCCAGAGTGACTTACAGTTAGTGAGTGCATTCTTTTTTTATATTTTTCATACTGGCCCCCCGTGGGAATCGAACCCACAACCCTGGCATTGCAAACGCCATGCTCTACCAACTGAGCTACATAATACTAATGTCAACACTTGCTACAGTGGTCCCTAACAGTAAGCCAGGCCTGGAGTGCCACCCCAGTATCCGTGCCCCCCTCTCTGGCCAGGCAGAGCCCAGCCGTTGTGTCTGAAGGAATGGGTGGGTCTGCCTTGGGGTCTGAAGCCAAAGTGAGGAGGATGTGGAGGGCCGTTATATCCTTTACCGGGCCCCATCTTCTTCTGCTTGGGCACTGGAGGATGCCACAAAGGGGAAGCTGGGTAGATCACCTGGTATGTGTGGCGATTTTAGGGGAAGGTAGGGGGAGGGCAGGTTTCCCTGAGGCCACTATCCTCATCTGAGTCGCCCCCAGAGAAATTCCTTCCCTCTGCCCACAGAGAGTAAGTACTCCGACAGGAAATGAAATATGACAAATCTTGTGCTAATGATAATGTGTTTGTACTAGTTTGTGTACTCACATCTGTGTGGTAAGTTGTGCTGTTGTTTTTGTTCACAGAATTTCAGAGAAAGGTTATCTTCCTCTTGACTGAAATAAGGGAAAGGATGAAGAACTGTGAGCGACGTGTCGCAAGTGCTGGAAAACCCCTCATCCAGACCTGTGAGACCCTAGAGGACTTCAAAGCTGAATTGTAGTTGTAAAGATGATTTTTCAATGGGTATTCATTTACGTGCATTAAGAAAGAGTTCTAAATGGTAACATCCCTTCACTGATTACTTTCTCTCTATCCAGACTCCCTCCCACTGCCACTGTCTACTGATTTTTAAAAATAAAAACAGAAACAACATAAAAACAACACGACCACCACACCCGATACACACCACAACATGCCCACAACTGTCCTTGAACGTATTAAATATACAGTGCCTTCAGAAAGTATTCATTCACCCCTTGACTTTTTCCACATTTTGTGTGTTACAGCCTTCATTTAAATTGTTTACGTTTAGATTTTTTTGTCACTGGCACCCACTCAATACCACATAATGTCTAAATGGAATTATGTTTTTCTAAATGTTTTGAAATTAATTAAAAATTAAAAGCTGAAATGTCTTGAGTCAATAAGTGTGCAACCCCTTAGTTATGGCAAGCCTAAATAAGTTCAGGAGTAAAAATGTGCTTAACAAGTCCCATAATAAGTTGCATGGACTCACTCTGTGTGCAATAGTAGTGGTTAACATGATTTTTGAATGACTACCTTATCTCTGTACCGCACATATACAATTATCTGTAAGGAATTTCAAACACAGATTCAACCACAAAGACCAGGGAGGTTTTCCAATTCCTCTCAAAGAAGGCCACCTATTGGTAGATGGGTAAAAACTTTAAAAGCAGACATTGAATATCTCTTTGAGTATGGTGAAGTTATTAATTACACTTTGGATGGTGTATCAATACACCCAGTCACTACAAAAATACAGGTGTCCTTCCTAACTCAGTTGCCGGAGAGGAAGGAAACAGTTACAGAGTTTAATGGCTGTGATAGGAGAAAACTGAGGATGGATCAACAACATTGTAGTTTCTCCACAATACTAACCTAATTGACAGTGAAAAGAAGGAAGCCTGTTCGGAATAAAAATATTCCAAAACATGCATCCTGTTTGCAATAACGCACTAAAGTAAAACCGCAAAAGATGAGGCAAAGAAATTAACTTTATACAAAGCATTATGTTTGGGGCAAATCCAACACAACACATCACTGACTACCACTCTTCATATTTTCAAGCATGGTGGTGGCTGCATCATGTTATGGGTGTGCTTGTCATTGGCAAGGATTAGAGAGGTTTTTTTTTATATAAAAAGAAACGGAATAGAGCTAAGCACATGCAAAATCCTAGAGGAAAACCTGGTTCAATTTTTGAATGTTGAATGTTCCTGAGTGGCCTAGTTACAGTTTTGATTTAAATCAGCTTGAAAATCTATGGCAAGACTTGAAAAAGGCTGTTTAGCAATGATCAACAACCAACTTGACAGAGCTTGAAGAATTTTAAAAATAATAATGTACAAATATGGAGTGTGAATACTTATGTAAATGAGATATGTAATTATTTCATTTTCAATTCATTTGCAAAAATGCATAAAAGCATGTTTTCACTTCGTCATTATGGGGTATTACCCAATTGTCCACTTTGATGACGTGGTGTGCCCAATGAGGGGAGAGTGAGCACTCATGTCTGGCATACACACACACACACAACACACATTCTCCAGTTTACCCACAATTTGACACCTGCCGTCTTGAGTGTGTATGTGGGTGTCACCACTCACGGCCGCCTATAGCCTTTTGGTGGCCCTGAGCGAGATTTGGATGGGGGACCCTCCACCTTGAAGCAAAACATTTTAGTTGCCCCCCTCTTGACGGTGGAGAGAACATTTTTAGTTTTAAAGTCCATTTCATGCAATTCCACACATTTTGCCATTGGGTGTAGAGAAACGTTGCAGGTTTTAAAGCAAGATTTCTACAATTCTACACATTTTGTATTTACTTATGCCATGTTATTATGATATCTGAGTAAGAGTGAAAGTAACAAAATCAATGGGGGCCTCCTGGAGGTCAGGGCCCCTGTGCACGTGCCCGGTCGGTATTCAGCCATGATTACCACAAGTTTAGATAGCTGGCTAGACTAACTACCAAGCCCCCCAAAAAGTGTATTCATGAATTTTTACAATATAGTTCAGATGTGCAGCAGAATTTATTATCCCATCAAGGTATGCCACGGTTTAAAAAAGTTTAAGAACAACTGGACTTTACTACTCCCCCTCTCACTACTCCATGTGGTTGTTGTCATCCGATCAAGATGATCCGATCACTACCTGATTGAGATTTGTTATGTCTACACATGGTAATAAAATGTCTCTCTTATCTGCCCAGATCCCCTGGTCCCTCCTTGTATGCAAATAAATCCATCCTGCCATGGACCTCCCGTTATGATACAAGATGTATAAATCGACAGAAAACAGCACGCTTTTATAGTCAATAATTTTATACTTTCATCATTAAAGCCTGCTTTTATTATCTAACGATTTAAGACTAGGCATAATAGGCTACTGTCCCGATAATCTCGACCTGAGTGTCCACAGCCATACAAATAAATATTCAGAGAATCGCCAAAACATGCGTTCTGTTTGCAATAAGACACTAAGTAAAACTGCAAAAAAATGTGGCAAAGAAAGGAACTTTATGTTCTGAATAAAAAGCATTATGTTTGAGGCAAATCTAAAACAAGACATCATTCAGCACCACTCTTCATATTTTCAAGCATGGTGGTGGCTGCATCATGTTATGGGTATGCTTGTCATAGGCAAGGACTAGGGAGTTTTTTAGGATACAAAGAAACTGCAAAATCCTAGAGGAAAACCTGGTTCAGTCTGCATTCCAACAGACACTGGGAGATGAATTCAACTTCCAGCAGGACAATAACTTAAAACACAATGCCAAATATACACTGGAGTTGCTTACCAAGATGACATTGAATGTTCCTGATTGGCCTAGTTACAGTTTTGACTTAAATCCGCTTGAAAATCTATGGCAAGACTTATAAATGTCTGTCTAGTAATGATCAACAACCAACTTGACAGAGCTTGAAGAATTTAAAAAAATATTGTACAATCCAGGTGTTTAACATGTATTGACTCAGCTGTGTAAATGAGATATTTCTGTATTTCATTTTCAATAAATTAGCTAACATTTCTAGAAACATGTTTTCACCTTGACATTATGGGGTACTGTGTGTTGGAAGAAAATCGGTTTCATCAATTTTGAATTCAGGCTGTAACACCACGTAGTTATATCTTTATATTTATATGTCCATTTTTCAGGGAACTTGTGTGTAGAAGTGGGAGTCTGTATCTGTGTATGTTGGTGTTGGAGAGAAATTGAACTATATCCCCAGGTTTCACTCCTCTAATCCTGGCTGCTACAGCTGGTCATGTTGGAGTGGTGGAGATCCTGTTGGATAAAGGAGGGGACATCGAAGCCCAGTTTGAGAGAACCCAGTCTGAGAGAACCAGAAACACACTTCTCTACCTGGCCTGCTCTATAGGAAGATAAGAGGTGACTTGTTACTTTTTTTGGTAAAACACAGGGGTATGTCCTTAGAGGAAATTCCCCAAAGGTGTTTTGTGGATCGACTCACCAGTGGTCCATTCCTTCCAGGCGGTAAAGCTGTTGCTGCTGTGCGGGGCTAACAAGGAGCACAGTAATGTTTCACACTACACACCTCTTAGCCTGGCCGCCTCAGGGGGCTACATCAACATCCTCCAAAACGCTGGTGCTGAAATAAACTCCAGGTATGACAGTTTATCAAACCCTGAAACCCACGACCATCCCTGTCAGTCACAAGGATTTGTCCCACTCTTAACTGTGTGTATAATCACCCCTGTCCACGTTTCTCTCTCTCTTCCCGTCTGTTCCTCTCTCACTGTGTGTTTGTTTCCTTTCAGGACTAGAAGTACACTGGGTATCTCTCCTCTGATGCTGGCTGACATGAACAATCAAATAGCTGCGGTCCAGCTGCTGCTGAACATGGTCTCGGACATCATCACTCAGATCGAGACCAACCGCAACACTGGCACTGAACCTGGCCTGCCAACGTGGAGTACTGCGCCAAGGTGAGAGCAGCCGCCATCAGCTGAACCTGATATGTCATGTTATCTGGGCCAGAGTCAAAGACATTCGGAATGAGGTTTGGTGTCAGACAGTGCTTAATTTGTAAATCGGGAGGTGCCTGTACAAAAAGTGAACGCGAGAGGAGGGTGACCTGGGGCGCTCTGAGGTACTGAAAAAAAACAAAAATCCTTTATAATAAAGCATTGCATGCATATCATTACATTTGCGTAATGGCATAGAGCAGTAGAGTAGAGGCACTTACAGAAGTTGCACACATGGGCAAAATGTTTTGTGGCCTTATGGTCCGGGAAATGTTTGGCCTTTTATAAACGCATTCCATGCAATTCTACGTCATTTTACATGACTGGAGACTTTAGCATAATGTTTTTTTAATGCCGCGTTCAAAACAACTGGGAACTCGGAGCTGGAAAATCTCCAACTTCCGACTTCAGTGTGTTCAAGACAACTGGCAAATCGGGGAAAAAACTTTGTTTTTGAACGGTTATCCAACTCGGAATTCCAGTGGGGAACTCTGGGCCTCTTTCTAGAGCTCCGACTATCCGAGCTTTAGGAAATTATAGTCCTAAAAATGCTTTCCAGTTTCACTGACACACCGCTGATGCGCAGCTCAGTAGCGTGTATTCATGGCTGCCAACGGACTTCCCCATTTTGTTTTTACAAAAAGGGGACAAAAAAAATCATAAAATAATGTATCTTTTGTCTGTCTGTGTTTCATAATTTTCCTTTATTTTCACAAGAGGCTGAATGTATTTCACAGGAGAAAGCATCCGAGCGAGCGAAACAACGCCCCTCTGTCTCTCTACGTGTAGGCCATCTATCTGATACTGTCTGGTCCAAACGAGTATGACATTGTTGCCACCTGTAGCATTGAATGCAAGGTAGCATTGAATGCCAGCGAGCATTTGGCCTCCCTTGAAAAAATAATTAAAATTATAAAAAATTAGCCAATCAGCATTGAGCTAAACTGAGCGAGCTCAACTGTAAATGGTCCTGGCAAAAAAAATAAAGTGTCAAGGGAAGCCAGCTTGGATTTGGCATCTCCACTATCAAATCGCTTTGAGAGCATACGTCATTAACAGAAACAACTTGGAATTGTTGCATCTCGTTGTGTTGTTGTCCTCCGGTGGCCAGCCTAGCTAGCTAGCTAAAAGTGGCCCTTTCCTAAATTGGCTATGGATGGAGATAGGGATTTGGACTTGTATTTTTACTTAATTCTCCGTACTGGCCAATGATTATAATGTTGATTCTGATCCAACCATTCATTCATACCATTGTTGTGCCCCTGGCCTGAAAAGGATGGAAGTTCAATATGTGTACAGTAGCTACAGTTGAAGTCGGAAGTTTACATACACTTAGGTTGGAGTCGTTAAAACTTGTTTTTCAACCACTCCACACATTTCTTGTTAACAAACTATAGTTTTGGCAAGTCAGTTAGGACATCTACTTTGTGCATGACACAAGTAATTTTTCCAACAAATGTTTACAGACAGATTATTTCACTTATAAATCATTGTATCACAATTTCAGTGGGTCAGAAGTTTACATACACTAAGTTGACTGTGCCTTTAAACAGCTTGGAAAATTCCAGAAAATGATGTCATGGCTTTAGAAGCTTCTGATAGGCTAATTGACATCATTTGAGTTAATTGTTGGTGTACCTGTGGAGGTATTTCAAGGCCTACCTTCAAACTCGTGCCTCTTTGCTTGACATCATGGGAAAATCAAAATAAATCAACCAAGACCTCAGAAAAAAATTGTAGACCTCCACAAGTCTGGTTCATCCTTGGGAGCAATTTCCAAACGCCTGAAGGTACCACGTTCATCTGTACAAACAATAGTACGCAAGTATAAATACCATGGGATCACGCAGCTGTCATACCGCTCAGGAAGGAGACACATTCTGTCTCCTAGAGATGAACGTACTTTGGTGCGAAAAGTGCAAATCAATCCCAGAAGTCCTATGTCGACATAACCTGAAAGGCCGCTCAGCAAGGAAGAAGCCACTGCTCCAAAACCACCATAAAAAAGCCAGACTACAGTTTTCAACTGCACATGGGGACAAAGATCGTACTTTTTGGTCTGATGAACAAAAATAGAAATGTTTGGCCATGATGACCATCATTACGTTTGGAGGAAAAAGGGGGTTGCTTGCAAGACGAAGAACACCATCCCAACCGTGAAGAACGGGTGTGGCAGCATCATGTTGTGGGGGTGCTTTGCAGCAGGAGGAACTGGTGCACTTCACAAAATAGATGGCATCATGAGGAAGGAAAATTATGTGGATATATTGAAGCAACATCTCAAGACATCAGTCAGGAAGTTAAAGCTTGGTCGCAAATGAGTCTTCCAAATGGACAATGACCCCAAGCATACTTCCAAAGTTATGGCAAAATGGCTTATGGACAACAAAGTCAAGGTATTGGAGTGGCCATCACAAAGCCCTGACCTCAATCCTATAGAAAATCTGTGGGCAGAACTGAAAAAGCGTGTGCGAGCAAGGAGGCCTACAAACCTGACTCAGCTACACCAGCTCTGTCAGGAGGAATGGGCCAAAATTCACCCATCTTATTGTGGGAAGCTTGTGGAAGGCTGCCCAAAATGTTTGACCAAATACTAATTAATGCTACCAAATACTAATTGAGTGTATGTAAACTTCTGACCCACTGGGAATGTGATGAAAGAAATAAAAGCTGAAATAATAAATCATTCTATCTACTATTATTCTGACATTTCACATTCTTAAAATAAAGTGGTGATCCTAACTGACCTAAAACAGGGAATTTTTACTAGGATTAAATGTCAGGAATTGTCAGTGTAGCTGTAGGTGGGTGTGGTGGTGGAATCAGGCGCAGGACGCAGAACATTAGTCCAAAAGACTTTAGTAGATGCACAAAACACAAGCACGAATAAACGCCCTGAGGCGAGAACTCCGCACGCAGGCGAAAACAAATGGGCGCACTAAACAGGTGCGACAAAACACTCCAAACACTATGGAGAACAGCTCAACTGAGCAAACAGTAGAAGTACTAGCCAACCGCACGACAGTAAAACAAACACACACAACACTTGACAAACACAACGAGAACTTATAGGACACTAATGACACTAAACGATAACAGGTGTAACAACAATCAGACAAAAGCAAACGAACATAGAAACATGCAACGGTGGCAGCTAGTATTCCGGAGACGACGAACGCCGAAGCCTGCCCGAGCAAGGAAGAGAGGCAGCCTCGGCCGAAACTGTGACAGTACCCCCCCCCCCCTTGACGCGCGGCTCCAGACGTGCGCCGACTCCGGCCTCGGGGACGACCAGGAGGACGCGGAGCAGGGTGCGTCGGGTGCCCACGATGGAATTCCGTCAGGAGAGACGGGTCCAAAATGTCTCTCCTCGGCACCCAGCACCGTTCCTCCGGGCCGTACCCCTCCCACTCCACTAGATATTGGAGACCCCCCATCCGACGTCTCGAATCCAAGATGGACCGCACGGAGTACGCCGGTGCCCCCTCGATGTCCAATGGGGGCGGAGGAGTCTCCCTGATCTCACTTTCTTGGAGTGGGCCAGCTACCACCGGCCTGAGAAGAGACACATGGAACGAGGGGTTAATACTTTTATACTCAACAGGTAGTTGTAATTTGTAACACACCTCGTTCAATCTTCTCAGGACTTTAAATGGCCCTACAAAACCGCCGACCCAGTTTCCGACAGGGCAGGCGGAAGGGCAGGTTTCTGGTAGAGAGCCAGACTCGATCACCAGGTGCGTACACCGGTCCCCTCACTGCGGTGGAGATCGGCGCTCGCCTTTTGACGACGGAGGGCCCGCTGCAGGTGGACGTGTGCAGCGTTCCATGTCTCCTCCGAGCGCCGCACCCACTCATCCACCGCAGGAGCCTCGATCTGGCTCTGCTGCCAAGGTGCCAGAACCGGCTGGTAACCTAACACACATTGGAAAGGGGTTAGGTTAGTGGAGGAATGGCGTTGGGAATTCTGGGCCATTTCGGCCCAGGGAACGTACCTTGCCCACTCCTCCGGCCGGTCCTGGCAGTATGTTCTAAGAAACCTACCCACATCCTGGTTCACACGTTCCACCTGCCCATTACTATCCGGGTGGTAACCCGAGGTGAGGCTCACCGAGACCCCCAACCGCTCCATAAAAGCTCTCCAGACTCTGGAGGTAAATTGGGGACCTCGATCAGACACAATATCCTCGGGTACCCCGTAGTTGCCGGAACACATGGGTGAATAGCGCTTCGGCGGTTTGCAGGGCAGTAGGAAGGCCCGGCATAGGGAGCAAACGACAGGCCTTAGAAAACCGGTCCACAACGACCAGTATAGTGGTATTCCCCTGTGAAGGAGGAAGGTCAGTGAGGAAATCCACCGAGAGGTGAGACCATGGTCGTTGTGGAACGGGCAGGGGTAGTAACTTACCCCTAGGCAGATGTCTAGGCGCCTTACACTGGGCGCACACCGAGCAGGAGGAAACATAAACCCTCACATCCCTCGCCAACGTGGGCCACCAGTACTTGGCACTAAGACAGTGCACTGTCCGGCCGATACCAGGGTGTCCAGAGGAGGGTGACGTGTGAGCCCAATAGATCAATCGATCCCGAACCTCGAGCGGAACGTACTTCCGACCCTCCGGGCAATGAGGTGGACTAGGGTCGGTGCGTAACGCCCCGCTCGAGTTCAGCATCGACCTCCCACACTACCGGTGCCACCAGACAAGACTCCGGCAGTATGGGAGTGGGCTCCACGGACCTCTCCTCCGCGTCATACCGCCGAGACAGTGCGTCTGCCTTACCGTTCTGTGACCCAGGGATGTACGTGATCTTAAATATGAACCGGGTCAAAAACATATTCCACCTCGCCTGGCAAGGGTTCAGTCTCCTCGCTGCCCGGATGTACTCCAGGTTACGGTGGTCCGTCAAAATGAGGAAAGGGTGTTGAGCCCCCTCAAGCCAGTGCCTCCACACCTTTAGGGCCTGTACCACGGCTAACAGCTCCCTGTCCCCTACGTCATAATTTCGCTCCGCCGGACTGAGCTTCTTGGAATAAAAAGCACAGGGGCGGAGTTTAGGTGGCGCGCCGGACCGTTGCGAAATCACGGCTCCTATACCGGCCTCTGACGCGTCCACCTCTACCTGAAATGGTAAAGAGGGATCCGGATGCGCCAGCACCGGGCCCGAGGTAAACAGGTCCTTCAGCCTCCCAAACGTCCTGTCCGCCTCGGCTGACCACTGCAGACGCACCGGACCCCCCTTCAAAAGAGACGTTATGGGAGCTGCCACCTGTCCAAAACCCCGGATAAACCTCCGGTAGTAATTCGCAAACCCCAAAAACTGCTGCACCTCCTTCACAGTGGTTGGCGTTTGCCAATTACGCACGGCTGACACCCGGTCTACCTCCATCTTCACCCCTGACGCAGACAACTGATAACCCAAAAAGGAGACCGACTCCTGGAAAAACAGACACTTCTCTGCCTTGACATACAGGTCGTGCTCCAACAGCCTCCGCAACACTCGGTGCACCAGGGCCACATGCTCGACTCGGGTAGGCGAGTACACGAGAATGTCATCTATGTACACGACCACCCCCTGCCCCTGCATGTCCCTGAAGATCTCATCCACGAATGATTGGAAAACTGAAGGAGCGTTCATCAACCCGTATGGCATGACAAGATACTCGTAATGGCCCGAGGTGGTACTAAAGGCTGTCTTCCATTCATCGCCCCCCCCCTAATGCGCACCAAGTTGTACGCGCTCCTGAGATCTAATTTAGTGAAGAAACGCGCCCCGTGCAATGACTCCGTTATGGTCGCAATCAGCGGGAGTGGATAACTGTACTTCACCGTGATCTGATTGAGACCACGGTAATCAATGCACGGGCGTAACCCACCATCCTTTTTCTTCACAAAAAAGAAACTCGAGGACGCAGGGGAAGTGGAGGGCCGTATGTATCCTTGTCTCAGAGATTCGTCTATGTAAGTCTCCATAGCTCTCTTCTCCTCCTGAGACAGAGGATACACATGGCTCCGTGGGAGCGCAGCTCCTGCCTGGAGGTCTATCGCACAATCTCCCTGCCTATGGGGAGGCAACTGCGTCGCCCTCGACTTACTGAACACAATAGCCAAATCCCCATACTCAGGGGGAACGTGCAATGCGGGCACCTGGTTTGGACTCTCCACCGAGGTAGCCCCTACGGAAACGCCTAAACATCGACCCACACACTGGGCAGACCACTCCATCAGAGCCCTCTCCTGCCACGAAATAGACGGGTTATGGGTACTCAACCAGGGCATGCCCAGCACCACCGGATACGCAGGCGAGTCGATCAGAAATAGCTGGATCATCTCCTGATGACCGCCCTGCGTACACATCCTAAGTGGCGCCGTGACCTCCCTGATCAAGCCCGCACCCAACGGACGGCTATCTAGGGCATGAACGGGGAAGGGGACGTCAACAGGGAGAAGGGGAATCCCTAAGGCTAAACAAAATCTCTTATCAACAAAATTCCCAGCCGCGCCTGAATCTACCAGCGCCTTATGCTGGGAATGAGGTGCGACCTGTGGAAAACGCACAGGTATACAGAAGTGTGCAACAGAGAGCTCTGGGTGAGTGGGGGCGCCTACTCACCTGGAAGGGCTCCCCAGTGCGGGGCCTGTCGTCTTCTCCCCGATGAGGCCATCCCCAGCACCTAGCCGTGGTGTGTCCTCCCCGACCACAGTTGGTGCAGGAGATGGACCCCCTCGTACTCCGACCCCTCCTCTCTCTAGCGCCAGCGCCCCCGAGCTCCATGGGGCACGGCTCGGAGGCGCTGGAGGATGAAATGGACGGACCCCCCTCGGGACATCCGCGGGTAGCTAGCAGGGTATCCAGCCTGATGGACATGTCGACTAACTGGTCGAACGAGAGGCTGGTGTCCCGACAGGCCAGCTCCCTACGGACGTCCTCACGTAGACTACAGCGGTAGTCATCAATGAGGGCCCGCTCATTCCACCCTGCATCCGCCGCTAGAGTCCGGAATTCCAACGCAAACTCCTGGGCACTCCTCCTCCCCTGCCGGAGGCAGAACAGACGCTCCCCCCGCCGCTTTCCCCTCCGGGGGATGGTCAAACACCGCCCTGAAGCGGCGGGAGAACTCGGCGTACGTGATGGTAGTAGCGTCTATTCTCCTCCACTCAGCGTTGGCCCACTCTAACGCTTTGCCGGAAAGGCAGGAGATCAGGGCGGACACGCTCTCGTGTCCCGAGGGCGCCGGGTGCACGGTGGCCAGGTAAAGCTCCACCTGAAGAAGGAAGCCCTGACACCCGGCAGCGGTCCCATCATAGGCCCTCGGGAGCGAGAGTTGAACTCCTCTGGGTTCCGGAGCGGGAAGGGGATGACTTGCCGATGGTGGGGGCAGGGAAGATGGCGTTGGGGGTGTCCCTCGGGTCTCCCAGCGTTGGAGGGTGGTGATCACCTCCTGCAGGGCGGACCCCATCCACAGGATCTGGTCATTCTGCTCCCGGACTCTGTCCTCCAACGTCTCCTGTGCGGCTGCGGCTCCTGCTGATTCCATTCGAGCGGGTGTGTGTTTCTGTCAGTGTAGCTGTAGGTGGGTGTGGTGGTGGAATCAGGCGCAGGACGCAGAACGTTAGTCCAAAAGACTTTAGTAGATGCACAAAACACAAGCACGAATAAACGCCCTGAGGCGAGAACTCCGCACGCAGGCGAAAACAAACGGGCGCACTAAACAGGTGCGACAAAACACTCCAAACACTATGGAGAACAGCTCAACCGAGCAAACAGTAGAAGTACTAGCCAACCGCACGACAGTAAAACAAACACACACAACACTTGACAAACACAACGAGAACTTATAGGACACTAATGACACTAAATGATAACAGGTGTAACAACAATCAGACAAAAGCAAACGAACATAGAAACATGCAACGGTGGCAGCTAGTATTCCGGAGACGACGAACGCCGAAGCCTGCCCGAGCAAGGAAGAGAGGCAGCCTCGGCCGAAACCGTGACAGGAATTATGAAAAACTGAGTTTAAATGTATTTGGCTAAGGTGTATGTAAACTTCCGACTTCAACTGTAAGGCTAATGTTAACTTGCTAACGTTGCCCATGAATGGAAGTTAGGTTAGCGAGCAAACATTTTAGCCAGGTAGCCTGTTGCAGGGGAATTAACGAAGAGGCAACTCGAATGAGCTTTTACAATTATTTTTCAGGCCACGAGAGGAACCAGATCCGGCAAAATAGGTTCCGGAACGAAACTGTCCAAAACAGAGAGCTGGCTCAAATTAAGCACTGGTGTCAGACAGTGTGGTGTCTGTGTGGTGCAGTATGTCACTGACCCATACGTTCTCGCTCAGACTGGTCTGACTCCTCTCATGGAGGCTGAGGTGGGGCACGTGTCTCCCGAGACACATGCTCACCCTCGCTGCAGACAAGGGCCACTACTGTGAGCTCCTCATCAACAGGTAATTACTGCTACAATCAACTTACAGTATGAGAGTGAGAATGCCATTGCAGTCAGAATATCATTCCTCTCCAGTCTCACTGCCCAGACCTGCGACTCCTCACTGAGTGAGTTATTACAATGTTACAGCCAGCAGTATGTGTAGTTAGACAGTTGCGTCTAGCTAAAGTCCAAATAATTCACGTCTTCTCTCTCTCTTTTAGTCCCGTCGATCTCAGAGCTGTGACCAACCCTCATCTCCCGGGCCTAGTCCTACGACTCCTCTCTGAGTGAATGTGTGTGCTGTTGTGGATGGGACTCTGATACCTACTCACTACCCTGTGATTTGTTGCTTGAATGGCTTTGATCTGAGACTGTAGTTTATATATATTTTTTTGTGTGTGTATTTGTATAAGGGGACAATGCTGTTGTGTATGTGTGGCACAGGCCTCCCTACTCTCTATATTGAATTTTGTTGTATCAATTGTAATAATATTTTTCCAGTTTTTTCTAGTTTTTTTAATCAAAAACAATTCTGAGCAAGGAGTAAATGTCTACTTGTTCATTGTTTAAGGTTGTTATTTACAGCTATTTGTGGTTTTATATAGTATAATGCAACTGAATTGAAAACTATCAGGGGGGTGGCTAGGTAATATGAATATGAATTTGAATCGAGCAACTGCTGGGGGGATTCTGGCAAGACACTGGCAGTGTCGGCTTAGTTCTGGCAGACGGGATGGGCCGATTCTGGGCAGTCATTCAATATGACATTGAACTGAGCCTGGCACCCGGATTCAGGTTGATTAAATCAGTTCTGGCGCACCAGAATAGGGTCAAGATTGGGCTGAGTCCTCATTGCTAGCTGGGGTGTAATTTACTGTAGATGAAACAGTCACATTAGCCTACAGGGAATAAATAAATATTGGATGCAGTAATGGTTGTACTAGCTAACTCATGTATGACTACAACAGTGTACTAACGAGCAGCAACAAACCCAAGCCAACCCAAGGCTATAGCAAAACATGTCACAGTTGGTTACATAGTGTAACGGCATCACCGGCCTGAACCCAATCTGGAACCAGTCAGTCTACATCTGTAAAGCATACAATTAGCTTCCAAATGAGATTGCGTTATTTCTCAAGCTATGTATATAATTGAGAGTTGATGACAATTGTTGAGCCTGTTTTTCTGTTAGACAAAGTGCACAGTTGTGTCCCAGACTGATCTACTGGTCATGCCGGGACCTACAAGAAGGAGCAAAGGTGCGTATCATAACATGTCCAGCAATGTGATTGCAATGGCTTAGGGACCTCCAAAAATCATTTAATTCACTGTTCACTTGCTATTTTCACAGCTTGTCAGGTAAGAGCTCAGACTAAAAGTGTGTCATGTGACACAAGTACCTTTGTAGACTCCTCTGTTGTTGCCAGAGTCTCCCTCAACTCCTATGAAAAGCACACGCCATCATGAGGCCTCTGATAGTGACCCGAGTTACTGCCCTGATGACACAGACGGCTTCATCAACAACGACAGGTAATGTGTGTTATGTGAAAAGTTGTATTCAAAAATACCCAGCTTGATAAACTAGTAGGCTAATTCCCCAGCCAAGCAGATACAGCTAGTAAGTGCATTAGCAAAAAGCTTTGTCCTTTCTTTAGAACAAAAAGCAATTTACCACTTTTCTTTGCAAATGTATTACAAATAAAAAACTGAAATAAAACATTTACATAAGTATTCAGACCATTTACTCAGTACAATGTTGAAGCACCTTTGGCAGCAATTACAGCCTCGAATATTATTGGGTATGACGCTAAAAGCTTGGCACACCTGTATTTGGGGAGTTTCTTCCATTCTTCTCTGCAGATCCTCTCAAGCTCTGTCAGGTTGGATGGGGAGCGTCACTGCACAGCTATTTTCAGGTCTCTCCAGAGATGTTTGATCAGGTTCAAGTCCGGGCACTGGCTGGGCCACTCAAAGACATTCAGAGACTTGTCCCGAAGCCACTCCTGCATTGTCCTGGCTGTGTGCTTAGGGTCATTGTCCTGTTGGAAGGTAAACCTTTGTTTTCATCAAGGATCTCTCTGTACTTTGCTCCGTTCATCTTTCCCTCGATCCTGACTAGTCTCCCAGTCCCTGCAGCTGAAAAACATCCCCACAGCATGATGCTGCCACCACCATGCTAAACCGTAGGGATGGTGCCAGGTTTCCAGACGTGGTGCTTGGCATTCAGGCTAAAGAGTTCAATCTTGGTTTCATCAGACCAGAGAATCTTGTTTCTTATTGGTCTGAGATTCTTTTGATGCCTTTTGGCAAACTCCAAGTGGGCTGTCATGTGCCTTTTACTGAGGAGTGGCTTCCGTCTGGCCACTCTACCATAAAGGCCTGATTGGTGGAGTGCTGCAGAGATGGTTGTCCTTCTGGAAGGTTCTCCCATCTCCACAGAGGAACTCTGGAGCTCTGTCAGAGTGACCATCGGGTTCTTGGTCACCTCCCTGACCAAGGCCCTTCTCCCCCAATTGCTCAGTTTGACCGGGCGGCCAAGAGTCTTGATGGTTCCAAACTTCTTCCATTTAAGAATGACGGAGGCCACTGTGTTCTTGGGGACCTTCAATGCTGCAGACATTTTTTGGTACCCTTCTCCAGATCTGTGCCTCGACACAATCCTGTCTCGGAGCTCTACGGATAATTCGTTCAACCTCATGGTTTTTGCTCTGACATGCACTGTCAATTGTGGGACATTATATAGAAAGGTGTGTCTTTCCAAATCATGTCCAAAAATTTGAATTTACCACAGGTGGACTCCAATCAAGTTGTAGAAACATCTCAAGGATGATCAAAGGAAACAGGATGCACCTGAGCTAATTTTCGAGTTTCATAGCAAAGGGTCTGAATACTTATGTAAATAAGGTATTTCTGTTTTTTTATTTAATAAATGTGCTAACATTTCTAAAAACCTGTTTTCGCTTTGTCATTATGGGGTATTGTCTGTAGCTTGATGAGGATTTTTATTTTATTTAATTCATTTTAGAATAATGCTGTAACGTTACAAAATGTGTAAAAAGTGAAGCGGTCTGAATATTTCCTAATGCACTGTACATTTACATTTGAGTCATTTAGCAGACGCTCTTATCCAGAGCGACTTACAGGAGCCATTAGGATTAAGTGTCATGCTCATGGGCACATCGACAGATTTTTCACCTAGTCGGCTGAAAAATCTTAACTGCTAGGCTACCTGCCATCATAAGATTGCCTGCTGCAGTTGTTCGAGATGTCCAGTTTGCAGCCGAACATGCAGCATAGAGAAGACCAGCAAGGGGGCCCTAATCTGCATCATGCAGACATGCCCTTGCTGTGAGCATTCCTATGACTGGAACAGTCAGCCACATGTTGGCAAGTATCTGAAGTGAAATAGAATGGTGAACACAGTGATCAGGTTGGTTCCACCAGGCTAATTATAACCACCATTGATAATATAATCAGTGCTCTCTCTCTCTCTCTCTCTGTGTGTGTGTGTTTGTGTGTGACCGACCACTATCTTTGATGAGGACCCAGGAGCTGATCTTTACTGCTATGGGGCTCTGGCAAAGACCTCACCTCCAGCCTCACCTCTTGCCGGCTCACCAACGGTTGTCGATTGGGAGAACAGAATTAGGTTGGTGACTTGTTCAAATTTCAACATAGTATCTGTTTGTGTGTTATAGATCACCTATTCTAACTGCCATTGGTAATAGAACAGTGGCTATGTGTGGACAGTGCCTTTAGAAAGTATTCATACCCCTTGATTTATTCCACATTTTGTTGTGTTACAGCCTGAATTAATCATTAATTAAATAGATTTGTAAAAATATGTTTTTAGAAATCTTTGCAAATCTATTGAAACTGAAATACAGACAAATCTAATTTACATAAGTATTCACACCTCTGAGTCAATACTTTATACAAGCAACTTTGGCATGATTACAGCTGTGAGTCTTTCTGGGTAAGTCCCTAAGAGCTTTCCACACCAGGGTTGTGCATCCTTTGCCCATTATTCTTTTCAAAATTCTTCAAGCTCTGTCAAATTGGTTGTTGATCAGTGCTAAACAACCATTTTCAGGTCTTGCCTTAGATTTCCAAGTAGATTTAAGTCAAAACTGTAGCTCGGCCAATCAAGAATATTCACTGTCTTCTTGGTAAGCAACTCCAGTGTTGATTTGGCCATGTGTTTTAGGTTATTGTCCTTGTACAAAACCCCTCCCACTCCCGACCTACCTGGAGGGGAGCCCTCGCCTCATTGGTCGCCACACACCTCCATCAAAGCTCGTTAAGAACAATCATGTCCATCTGAACGAGGTGAGGCTACCCCTTTAAATGCCCCACCTGCAGTCATTTAGTCCTCTTTCAACCAAACTAGCACAGACCACTACAGGAACATTATTGACTGTGAATATTGCATGAGTGTGGTGGCCAAGGTATTTAGTTCGTATTGTTATGTAGATATATATTGTTTGATTGTTGTGCATATACAGTGGGGAAAAAAAGTATTTAGTCAGCCACCAATTGTGCAAGTTATCCCACTTAAAAAGATGAGAGAGGCCTGTAATTTTCATCATAGGTACACGTCAACTATGACAGACAAATTTAGAATATTTTTTCCAGAAAATCACATTGTAGGATTTTTTATGAATTTATTTGCAAATTATGGTGGAAAATAAGTATTTGGTCACCTACAAACAAGCAAGATTTCTGGCTCTCACAGACCTGTAACTTCTTCTTTAAGAGGCTCCTCTGTCCTCCACTCGTTACCTGTATTAGCACCTGTTTGAACGTGTTATCAGTATAAAAGACACCTGTCCACAACCTCAAACAGTCACACTCCAAACTCCACTATGGCCAAGACCAAAGAGCTGTCAAAGGACACCAGAAACAAAATTGTAGACCTGCACCAGGCTGGGAAGACTGAATCTGCAATAGGTAAGCAGCTTGGTTTGAAGAAATCAACTGTGGGAGCAATTATTAGGAAATGGAAGACATACAAGACCACTGATAATCTCCATCGATCTGGGGCTCCACTCAAGATCTCAACCCGTGGGGTCAAAATGATCACAAGAACGGTGAGCAAAAATCCCAGAACCACACGGGGGGACCTAGTGATTGACCTGCAGAGAGCTGGGACCAAAGTAACAAAGCCTACCATCAGTAACACACTACGCCGCCAGGGACTCAAATCCTGCAGTGCCAGATGTGTCCCCCTGCTTAAGCCAGTACATGTCCCGTCTGAAGTTTGCTAGAGTGCATTTGGATGATCCAGAAGAGGATTGGGAGAATGTCATATGGTCAGATGAAACCAAAATATAACTTTTTGGTAAAAACTCAACTTGTCGTGTTTGGAGGACAAATAATGCTGAGTTGCATCCAAAGAACACCATACCTACTGTGAAGCATGGGGGTGGAAACATCATGCTTTGGGGCTGTTTTTCTGCAAAGGGATCAGGACGACTGATCCGTGTAAAGGAAAGAATGAATGGGGCCATGTATCATGAGATTTTGAGTAAAAACCTCCTTTCATCAGCAAGGGTATTGAAGATGAAACGTGGCTGGGTCTTTCAGCATGACAATGACCCCAAACACACTGCCCGGGCAACGAAGGAGTGGCTTCGTAAGAAGCATTTCAAGGTCCTGGAGTGGCCTAGCCAGTCTCCAGATCTCAACCCTATAGAAAATCTTTGGAGGGAGTTGAAAGTCTGTGTTGCCCAGCGACAGCCCCAAAACATCACTGCTCTAGAGGAGTTCTGCATGGAGGAATGGGCCAAAATACCAGCAACAGCGTGTGAAAACCTTGTGAAGACTTACAGAAAACGTTTGACCTGTGTCATTGCCAACAAAGGGTATATAGCAAAGTATTGAGAAACTTTTGTTATTGACCAAATACTTATTTTCCACCATAATTTGAAAATAAATTCATTAAAAATCCTACAATGTGATTTTCTGGAAAAAAAATTCTCAATTTGTCTGTCATAGTTGACGTGTACCTATGATGAAAATTACAGGCCTCTCTCATCTTTTTAAGTGGGAGAACTTGCACAATTGGTGGTTGACTAAATACTTTTTTCCCCCACTGTAAGTGCACTTCCCTTATTTGCCAATTGTGTAACACTGTAGTGTTTGGAGTATTTATTTTCGGTGTGCCATTTTTTTATTTACCATGTGCCACTGGTTTACCTTAACGTTGTGTTTCTGTCTGTACTTAGACCTTACCATCTTTCATCACCTGTCAGCTTTGACATTTCTCATAATTTGAAGCCTACAAAATACCAACAAACCTGTTACAAGAAAAGGTAAATGGGCTACCCTCTCCTTGTATTCTTGCAGATATACCCATTACGTTACCTCCCACCCAGTGCTTAATTTGTCAATTGGGAGGTGCCGCAACAAAATGTGAGCCCCATAGGGGGGTGACCTGGGGGGCTCTGAGGTACCAGAACGCATGAAAGAAATGACTTTTTATGATAAAGTATTGCATACATTATTGCTTTTGCGTACCGGCATAGAGCAGTGGAGTAGATGCGCTTTCAGAAGTTGCATACATGGGGAATATTTTTAGTAGCCTAGGGTCCGGGAAAGAATTGATGTAGAATTGCATGAAATGCAATTCTACATCATTTGAGGTAACTGGGGACTTTAGCAGAATCTTAAATACCTCACAAATGATCAAAATGACAGGCTATACTTTGACACTGAGAATCTGAGATCAATAAAAACGACCCTGTCTTGAATCCATCAATAGCCTAGGTGTGTGGAGACAAATATTGTACAATCTGAGGAGGAAATTATAGTCCTAAAGGCTTTCCAGTTTCACTGACTCACCCAATGATGCGCAGCTCACTCACCGGCGATGGCCAACGCACTCGTGCCAAAAGTGCCAAAAGCTTATCTCCGTCTTATTTTACTTTGTATAACAATGCGGTTCGGTCTATAGGTCTATTTGTTAATTGATAACTTGGTAGCGTACAGACAGATTAGTCTTCTCATTTCAGCAGGATCTGTGCTTTCCTGTGATTGTATTTAAAACATCGCAAAAGGCCTGTTTTGGCTGACAGCAGTAATTCTCTAACTTTGGCAAATGTATTTACATTTATCAGGGGTACCCGCAGCTATAATTCTATAAGGAAATACATGATTAAGTGCAACCCTGGAGAGATGAGACTTGAATGCTCATTTCAATCAGAGCAGGAAGAGTTCATAGAAAGTGAATCTCATTCTAGTTCTTTGAGATACAGGCGTGCTTCTCTCACCACAGCAATGGTCACGCGTTGGTCTATGTAGGCTGCAATGTTGCGCAAACCATAAACCCAGGCCAGGCCAGCCCAACACAAATACATTCTTAGAATACCAGGCACTGTTTTCACATTACGTTTTTTAGGGGGCAGCCAGGAGAATTAAAGGATCAACCTGCAATAACTCTGACTGCTTTTATTAGAGTTGTTACATTGCAAACAGTGAAAATAAAGTTTAATGTCACGAGAGGTACCGGATCCTGGCAAATGGGTTCCTGAACGAAACAGTCCAAAACTGAGAGGTTCCCGATCCTGTTCCGGCAGGATCCGGCACTGCTCCCACCCATTCTACTTCCCACACAGGGCATCAAGGCCTCGCCCGAAACCCAGGTCCTAAAGGCCTCCACACAGGGCATCAAGCCTCACCTGAACCCAGGCCATCCCAGCCTCCCCAGATGATCGCGTAACCCTCCAGAGGCCAGTTCGCACATCGAGTGGGGGTCCCATGGATCCCATCCCAGCAGCCTACAGGCTCCACCATTATCCGCTACCTCACCACCTGATCTGACCCAGGGGCTGCAGTACAGGACAAAGTGAAGCCTACATATACTGGACAGACCCAAGACTTCAATGTCATTCTAGAACACAGTCGGCCCCTGACCCCCGTTGGGCACTGCCCTACCAGCCCCCGGCCCATCCATACCAGGCTCCAGCCCAGGATCCCGCTCAGCCCTACCAGACCCTGGTCTAGCAATTAGTATTTTTGTATTTGTTATGGATCCCCATCAGCTACTCTTCCTGGGGTCTGGCAAAATTAAGGCAGCTATACAATTTCAAAAACATTACATTACATTAACACATTTCACAACACACTAAGTGTGTGTCCTCAGGCCCCTACTCCACTTCCACATATCTACAACACAAAATCCATGTGTATAGTGGGTATGTTATCGTGTGTATGAATGTGTCTGTGCCTATGTTTGTATTGCTTCACAGTCCCAGCTGTTCCATAAGGTGTATTTTTATCTGTTTTTCTAAATCGGATTCTACTGCTTGCATCAGTTACCTGATGTGGAATAGAGTTCCATGTAGTCATGGCTCTATGTAGTACTGTGCGCCTCCCATAGTCTGTTCTGGACTTGGGGACTGTGAAGAGACGTCTTTTGGGGTATGCATGGGTGTCTGAGCTGTGTGCTAGTGGTTTAAACAGACAGCTCGGTGCCTTCAACATGTCAACACCTCTCACAAATACAAGTAGTGATGAAGTCAATCTCTCCTCCACTTTGAGCCAGGAGAGATGGACATGCATATTATTAATGTTATCTTTCTGTGTACATCCAAAGGCCAGCTGTGCTGCCCTGTTCTGAGCCAATTGCAATCGCCTTGTTAGTGCTTTAAATAAGGCAGAGCTGCACTTTATTATGGACAGACTTCTCCCCATCTTAGTTACTGTTGTATCAAAATGTTTTGACCATGGCAGTTTACAATCCAGGGTTACTCCAAGCAGTTTAGTCACCTCAACTTGCTCAATTTCCATATTATTTATTACAGGATTGAGTTGAGATTTAGTGAATGATTTGTCCCAAATAAAATACTTTTAGTTTTTGAAATATTTAGGGACTAATTTATTCCTTACCACCCATTCTGAAACTAACTGCAGCTCTTTAAGTATTGCAGTCATTCAGTCGCTGTAGTAACTGACGGGTATAGTGGTTGCGTCATCCGCATACATACACACTGGCTTTATTCAAAGCCGTGGCCTGTGTTTTGGGGTTTTTTAAAAAATAAGGGGCCAGTTTCGGGGGGTTTGAAAGTGCTTTTTTGTTGAAGTTCCCCCTTTCCCCATAGGTGCTTAAAGCGGCAAAATTTTTTTAGGGGGGGGGAGGGGGGAAAGGGCCCTTTTTCTCGCTTTTTATTTTTGGGGGGTTTTGGGTTTCTTCAAAGGGGGACCCCTTGTTTAATTTTAAAAACCCCGTGGGTTTTTTTG